TTCCCAGAAGGTTGGTTATAGAGAAAAGAGTGAGGCAAAAACGTCTGCGTTACGGACAATGCTCGAGGATTGTTCTGCCGGGCTGTAGAAGAACGTCGTAAGAGTCTTCAGACGTTGCCAAATTTCAATTACAACAAATCACGAATTTTTGGAAAAATTTGCAAATAATTTTCCTCTGTTTTTCAAGAGAATTTTGATAGTAATTTTATATAAAAAGTCTGAAAATTTCGAAGAAAAATATCCATAAATTTCTTCTGAAATAAAGATTTTCTGGAAGTAAACTAGGCAACATTCGAATGCTTTTACGGCGTTTTTCCTCAGCAAGGCAGTGTTGACGGTCAATGCCCACGTCCCCAAGGAATCTCACGCTCCAGCGAAGGAACAAGGAAAAAATGACCAAAAAATTATGAAACGAGTTAAAGGAAACGCTCCCACACGTAATGTCATCAGTAGCGTGACGTGCTTTGCGATATATCGATTGATCCGCCATTTAAACCTATGGGAAATTATCGATAAACAGGATGTTCGCAACGAATACCTTAATAATCGATTCTTTACCATAGAATCAAATGGGGATATATCGATAATTGATCGTTCACGCCTCGCCAGTGCATCTCCTATGAAATTTAACGCTTCAAGTCGGATTAGTTTCTAATGTAATAGTTTCATTTTGAACATGAAATTTACAAAATTTTAGACACCTGCCACTTCTCCATTCATGCATCTTCTCTGCTTGAAAAAGTAACTTGCCTTGAACTTTTGGCGCAATTATTTGTACACTCTTTACGAATGTAACCGCTGAAATTTGGAACTAATCGTGCAGTTCTATCATGCGTCTTTACATGAGGGTAATACTCATTACGAACGCATCTCACGGAAGTGCATTTCAGTTCGGTAGATTCATTGGATCGTGCGTTTTGCTGCAGTTGTGCAACTGTTGTTCTTACATACTAATTACGCAGATGAAGATATCCACGGTTGCAAAATCTCGGGTATCTCAAGGATGTGTTCACACAAAAAATCTCTACAATGATTTGCAAGAAATCCGGCACTATCTTAAAAAGTCTTGTCACCAAAGCACGAACTTCTTTACAATTCATTGTGATCACACTGTGTGTCAACATAAGGAGAGGTGACTCATCTATTTCGGAGTTTCGAACCTCATATCGCCACCTTATGATGCATTTACGCATGCGCTGTTTCTTGAATTTCCATTGATCGTCTATTACCGCGGAAGCGAGTTAAGTAAAAGAATGACTTTCTCAGACTGAATTGAGGAGTTCTTTGGAACTAGGATGTATAAGACTTGCAATGCTGCTAAGATTGTGCGAATTTGTATTCAATTTGCAACGACCCAAGTTACACACACATGTAATTATTTTCACAGAAAAATAAATCAAAATTGAGATTTTTTCAGAAAAAAAGCCTAACAGAGCTTTCAAACTGTTCAACTGGAAACGATGCGATAAGTTGCACAACCTTAGCAGCATTGCAAATTTTATACGCCCTTGTTCCAAAGAACTCCTCAATTACGACCAAATACCCCGGAAAAAAATATGATTCTATTAGCGCATTCTTGAGTGAAACACGCATTATTGTTGACATTTATGCGATAATAGCGAAATGAATGACCCTATGTAATCGTAACATGTTAATATATTGTCAAGAATATGTTTCGGACCACATTGATGATACCAAGATGCGGAGTAACCTGGCTCTGATGTTCTTGTTTACTGAAAATTAAAATTTTGATAACTATCATTCTGCTATTGTACTAATTTTCGTTATTCAATTGAATCGTATACATAGTTTTACTAATCATCTTTTGACATATATGCTTCCAACATGTTGGTATCATTGACTTTTAAATTCGATTTAAGCGATAGTCAAAGAACTTTAAAGCAGCGAATTACTGCGATACGGCCTTCAGCAGTATCTCACTCTCTTAAACGAGGCATATCTCATGAAGGTAAAAATCGTTTTGGTTTTTCGTCAAAATAAACAAGCAAAGTTCAACCGGAAACGACGCTTGCAATATAATGTCTCAATTCATACGTAAACTCTTAATCGTTGTCCCTTGATATTGATTGTTTGGGTACGAAGACTAGGCAGAAACGGCGCTCAAAAATTCCAAGTTGTCAAAGGTTAGAGAAAACAATGCTGCGCACGTTGCCGAAATGCCTCTTAATCGCATCGATTATAAATCCACGTAGAAAATCTGCAATTATCCCGCGATTTTGCAACTCCGGAGAATACGAATGCGGAACCGTAGCAGTATCAAGACCGAAGTTCAAAATGATCTCGTAGTTATGTAGGGTGATATAAAATTCCCCCACCACCCGTTTGACCCCTAGGGTTCTTGCCCCTTTTCAGAGGGCTCCTCTTAAAATGTTAAGGGACCCCAAAAATCGTTTCCTTTGAAGCACTCACAAGATTCCAAGTATTTATCTCAATTTATTTAAAAGTTACAGGGGTAATGCCTAATAGCTGCGGCGATTGCAGCAAATCGGCGACACTGTTAATCCTCCATTTAAATCTATTTAATATATCGATTCTAGGTATGTAGGCTGTCTCACCTCAAATCGATTATTTAACTACATTTGAATTGGGAAAAATAGTGATATCAACTTACCAGAACCACCACTGATTGCTGGTGGTGCGGCACCACCAGCAATCGCCCTGAATGCCCTGTCGAATCGCCCTGTATGCGCTCCGATCAGGTAAGAAAAACACTGGAACATGGCTGATCATCCAGTGGACCTTGGCGATTCGGATTGGTCAATTTAAATGCATGTAGAACAATTGAGGGGCTTGGAGGACAAGGCGCATAAGTGCAGTTTTTGAAAAAATTGAAATATTAATGCTTTCAAGTAAAACTAGCCTGAATGCTTATTTTGTGAAAAATTCGAGCCAAAATTCTACTTTTCAAACACTAAAAAGTCAGTTTGAACTTTCTTTTCGCCATAAGGCTCCATGTAATTTCGGAACTTCAAACACGTTTTTCTCGAATTAGCAAAAACTGCACTTATGCGCCTTGTCTTCCGAGCCCTTAAATTGATACGGAAGAATTGATAGTTTATAATGAGTTTAAATCGCAGTAGCGATTCTTGAAATTTGATATCACTGTTTTCCCTCGATTTAATTGTACGTTAACAATGAAAAAAAATCTCCGGCCGTGGGAGCCGCAATTAAAGGTTGTATAGACATACCGTCCGTTCCGGGCTCAAAGGCCAAAAATTCCGGCTGTTGGAGCCGTAGTTTCGGCCTCTGAACCCGGAGCAATCGAAGCTACGCCTCCAGCAGCCGCAATTTTCGGCCTTTGAGCCCGGCACGGACGGTATGTCTATATAGCCCGTAATTGCGGCTCCCACGGCCGGAGTTTTTTTTTTTCAGTGAAACAATCGATTCTTGGTAAGGCAGGTTGCCTCACTTCAAATCGATTTTTTTTTTTAATGGGTTTAAATGGTGGAAAAACAATTTTGCCAACCAGCAAACTCGTCACTGGTTTAAACGGAGCGAGTAAACAATGATATCAGCTTGCTAGGATCGTCACCGCTTTCAAAACACAGCGACGAGTCATATCCATCTGATACGGCGATGTTTTGAAGGTGGTTTTGATACCAGTCATGCATACGCATTTAGGCGTTGAGGCTGGACCGAACTTTGACATTTCGTGTTTAATTACGATAGAGCATCATGGGAGGAGCGCTAGCGCCACATTCCCTGGCGTAAGGGAGTATCTCGAGTCCCGCATGAGCCCCAGAAAGTATGGATTTATACGTGAATCGGGGCTTACGTAGAAAATTGAGATATGCCTTTACGTTCAAGGGGCGACGATTACAGGGAACGTACTTACCTATGCGGTGAAAGTCCAAAAACAAGTACCCCGATTCCAATGGCGTGGCGTGAATTGCGATGTATCGATTGTTATGCCATTTAAAACTATGGTCAAGAATCGATTATAAATGTGTTCGCTGCGAACACCTTGTTTATCGATCCTAGGTTCGGATCCATCGGATCCGTAGGTTTAAATGGCATAACAATCGATAAATCGCAAACCACGCCACGCCACTGCCCGATTCGAAATCGCCGCACAGTGAAACGAGTGTTTGGGAGCAGTCACACATGAAATTTTTGACAAAAATTGTAAAATTTGGACCGCTTTTAGCAGAAAAGAATGCCACATCAGTAATTGCCAAATGTAACGGGAAAATTTGATTTTTTACATGAAAACTCTTGGGCGGATTTTCGTGCAAATATCAGTAAATTTCATGCATAGCACGAGGGAAATTCCTAAAAATTTTCAAAGGAACACTGGAAAAAAAGAGGATGGATCTAGAGTCTAGACTCTTAAAAACATCGACAAGAAAAATCACTCTTGATTCAATCAGAATCTAGCTTAAATCAAGAACCAAGCCTCTTAATTTAAGCGGATTTCGTTTTGATTCAAGCAAAAATCCGATTGATTCAAGAGTATTTTTTCTTGTCAATGTTTTCAAAAGTCTGGACTCTAGATCCACTGTGTTTGTTTTTCAGTGAATCTGCTTCTGCATAAACGCCCTCGTGCAGAAAATTACATTGCCCCGTAAAATTTGGCAACAGCTGATGTGGCTTAGTTACTTTCAGCTTAACGCGATCCATTTTAGTTTTACCTCGTCACAATTTTAATTCTACAGGGTGCTTTTAATAGCAAATTTTATGAGAAAACCAATGAAACTACTTTGGAAATATCAACAGTTCATATTAATAAAGATATACACTTCTAAAGTTTTTAAATTATGTCCGAGTTCTTCCATTGACTCGATCCATTGTGCGCCGTTGTTGTTATAAATTTTCCGTATGGAAAACTAGTTTAAGATACTTTAAACACAATGAGAAAAAATAATTTCAGACCACTTTGAACACAATGAGGATTAATCAGTTGACGTTCACGGAAAAAAATTGCATCATAGTTCTGCTTGCCTTTGAAAAAATAATTAATGAGAGTGATGATGCCTTACCTCGTTTTCCCCGCGCTATCTCGTTCTTGAGAGGAGCCATTTTGTAGCACGCTCTGTACTTCGGAGATTAGTTTCCTCTGGGAACTGCGTATTTTCATAGCCATCAAATGATACTTGACACGAATCGGACACCATAAAAATCAAACTTCCCGGCCAAGTTCCGCATACAGAACTTTCGATCAAAAATCCTCTCTTCCGATAGATTCATGCGTGAATCACCACCTGATAACCGCACTTGCACAGGGCACTTAAAAAGCATACAAGAAAAACGTACCCAAAAAGTATGAGCGGGTTTCGAATCAGAAAAAGTATATTTTTACTTAATTAAGTATGGGTTTATCGTGGGTGAGGGCACGGTTTAACTTGTACTGGAATAATCTCCAGCAAAAATGGAAAAATTGAGGTAACCGTAGGTAATAAGAGAAAAGATTCCTATCCAATGAGAGTATCAGACGGAATCGAATGACTTAATTTCGAATTGAAAAATATATTTGTGCACATGCAGTTCCTGAGCTCACGGGTGAAAAAATAATGAATATTATTCAGGTGCAAAATATATCCCTAATTTTTGTTTTTGTATATTGTTTTTGGTAAATTTATAATTTAAATCACTCGATTTTCAAAACAAAATTATAAATCTTAGATTCGTTATACCTTTCAACTGATAACGGACGAGATCAGTGATTTCTACCGCGGGAAAACTATTTTATTTAGAGACGAGTGGTTCACATCGCATATCGCATCGGTACCCGTCTCAATTGAGAGCGTTACTCCGAATCGAAAACGCACAATCCAGTCCGCGATACACAGCAAGTTAATAAAATCGACCACTGATATCCGCGACGACTTTTTTCGGTTCCGAAATCAGGAGGGAGCACGAAATTGCGATCACTCGAGAGTATCACTAAAATCCGCGCTCGATAACCACCGGCACAAAAAATAAACAAACACGTCGACTATCACCGATGTTCACAATTAATGTCAGAAATTAAGGGGGGGGATTCGAGGGCGATAGCGGGGTACCGAACCAGACAAAGCGGCGGGGGTCGTCGAGAAATAGGGAGCGAGGAGATAATTCGCCGTAGGAGGCAAGCTTTTGACCTAACCCGGGTGGCGCGCTGAGCTGAACTGTAACTGTCTCAGCTCGGACCTTTACTGAAGTGATAAAAGAGATCATCGCTGTTAACAGGGTTGCCATTGCTGCCGCGCGGAGGTTTCTCGGCTTTTTACGTCTTTTTAACGACCCCCCCCCCCGCATCATATAGTTCTTCGTTAATTGTTATGGGGTTGCCTCCGGGGGCAGGGGTGCGGACTGCCGAGGGAGGCTACGAAGTGATCGCCTCCCATGAATCTGCCACGGAGCCACAGAGCCACAGAGCCACAGAGCTACAGAGCCACACAGCCACAGAGCCACAGAGCCATATAGCCACAGAGCCCCGGAAGAGCCTCCGCGGTAATCTTTTCCCCATTTTTTCAGGTTTTTCTTTGAAATTGGATCGCGATGAGCAGAAAGGAACGAAGCCACATCAGCTATTGCCAAATTTAACAAACCAATTTAATATTTTACGAGAGAACTTTTGTGCGGGTTCCGTTGAACATTTTAAAGAATTTGCTTTGCATTGTGTGGCCTGGTTACACGCTCAAATTTCCGTCAAATTCCGATCAAAATGATGACCAAGATGGCGGACGAGAGTCATCTAGATTGATGAGTAAAATTAATTAAAACAGCGTGTTGATTGAAATAAGCATGAAATAAGCCCGATTGTGTGGAAATCAGATGAAGGATGAGCCCCACAGCTCCATCATCCACCATCAAATTTTTGCAGGCCGCAAAAATTTGATGGTAAATGGTGCGCATCACAAGTCACCATTTGATCGGAAATTTATAGAAATTTGAGCGTGTGACCTGCACAGTGTAGAAAATTCACTGAAATTTGCACAAAAATCCTCACAACCATTTCCATGTGAAAAATTAAATTGCCTGATTAAATGTGGCATTAGCTGATGTGGCTTGGTTCCTTTCTGTTTAACGTGGTCCAATTGTATTATTTTCAAAGCATTACAAAGCAAGCGTATGCTTTGGAAAGTAGGGAAGAGGAGAGGGTCAACGTGTTGAGAGGATCAACATGAGTTTGGTCTCTTTCAAGTTCTTCTTTAAATGTTTCAGTTGAATCTAAATTGAAAAGTTTTGAAAAGTTCTTTAAATAAAACTTGAACATCATTGTATCAATCATCATTGCATCATGTGTATTTTTCCTGAATCATAAAGAATACACGCTCCAAATTATAATTAGTTAGAGTGCTTCTTGGTTTTTTATGGCAAATTATAACACGGGAGCAAATTTGGTAACGTCTGATGTAGTTGGTTCATTTTCATCCTCATCTTCATCGTATTGGTGAAGGCTGAAAGCAAGCATGCAACTATTCGCGCTCCGCCGTGGTTTTGTGGTATCGCGTGGAAATCAAGGCGTTTCTTGCCACTTTCCATGGCTGGTCGCTTTCTGAAATTCTGTTTGTTCAAACCCAGGGAAAATAGAGTTATGTGATTGAGACTGCACAGCTCGCTTTCCTTTTGATACTTCCAGTGCGTCCGGTGCTCACGTGGTCAACAGGTACAAAAATATGACTTTTTGAAAATCAGCTCGTAACATACTCTTGTCCTACTCTGGAGGCAAATTCTCTACTTATTGACGCGGGAAAATCAGTTTAGTGCTCATGAGATATGACAGACGTTCCGCAGCCCGTGACAAGATATAAAAAAAAAAAAAAAAAAAAAAAAAAAAAAAAAAAAAAAAAAAAAAAAAAAAAAAAAAAAAATTGAAAACGCGGGTAACAAGGCTAAAATTTCACGAATAAAACCGAAACTTTTCGGCTGAAAACTCAGCCTTCCTCAGTTGGATAAAATAGTAAAAAGAAAAATGGTAAAAATCTAAAATAATACCTGGCTGTACCTTTCAAAGCGAGAATGTTGTTATGCTACATAACAACATCCCCCAACAGAGGAGGCCCCCTCCCTAATTTCAGCCATGGGTGAGCTCCAAAGTATCCAAATCGGCTTAGATACAACTTTATATTAAGGTGATTCGTCAAGCTCAAGTGACGTGGTCGAAGTGGAGTGCGACATATCGCATCGATTAGGTCAAAAATCTCGGTCGATTTTGAATTGTTAGCGACAAAAAGGACTATAGCCCCTGCGCATGAGCCTAAAGAATCATTCTAAACCCAAAAATCAACAAAATTCCGAGAAACGAAATGTTAGTGTTTGGAAAAAAGAACCTCGCATTCGATTCAGCTATCGATTTCTGTATCGAATGCGAGGTTTTTTTCCAAACACTATTCTGCTATCATTTCTCTGAATTTTGCGTGTAGAATGATTCTTTAGGCTCATGCGCAGGGGCAATCGTCCTTTTTTTGCTAAAAATTCAAAATCTGCCGAGATTTTTTACCTAATCGATGCGATATATCGCACTCCACGTCGACCACGTCATTTGAGCTTGACGAACAGGCGGCTGGGACCAAGAAAATCCAACTTGAAACTATAACACGCCTCATTCGTGCCTCGGTTTCAATTCAAACCTTCAGCTGCACGGTTAGCAATCATAATCCTTGATAATCGGATGAGGTTAGAAGGGCCGGCAACAGCGGTTGCTTTCAGAATAATTAATTAGGTTTTTTATCACGTTCTCGGCGTACATCACTGTTTCATCACTACTCTGCTTCTCTCGTTGGTCGCTGCGGCTTCGGAGATAGTAAACACACTAACTCATCCCAAACACGCGATACAACCCCGATCGTCCACTCTCCCGTCCTAAGGAAAAAACACCGTATGTGCATTCCAGAGTTGCCAAATTTCCCATGGTAAAACGTTCATTTATAAGGAGAATAATGAACGTATCATTTTGAAATTTTCAGATAACTTAGATTTTACGGCGAATGAAATTCTGTGTAAAATTGGAAGGAAAATATTCTCGGATTTCGCAGGAAATTCATAATTTATCGAGGGAAATTTGGCGACGTTTGAAGGGTCGTACGACGTTTTACCTTAGCACGGCGGCACTCCACTCCGTCTGGCTCGGAAGGCGAAATTTATTCACGCGGCGCGCGGCCGACCCCGACGTTGACGATGGCGTGCCACCCGACACGGAAAACCAGTGGTGAGACGCCGATGATCGATTTTCGATATTTCCTCATTTGAATCTATGGTTAAAAATCGATTGTTGAAGTGTTCGTTTCAAACACCCTGTTTATCGATCCTTTTCCATAGGTTGAATGGCAGACAAACGATACATCGCAAAGCACGCCACCCGACGCGGAAAACCGTCGCGAGGTTGACATCCGCTGGCCGCACCGCGCAGGTTTACATCGATAGCAGGTTCCGTGGACTCCGGAGCAGGTGGATCAGAATGAAAAAAATATGAAATATTTGTAATTTTTCAGGGGCTAGAGTATGCAACACGTGCTCAAAACATGCGCGGAACGAACGATTTCTGCATTTCGACGGTAAAACTCCCAAACCACGTATCGTCACCCTCCAGCCAAAATATCGTAAGCGCCATGCGACGTTTCAAAATTGTCGCCGCCATTCTATTTTTTTACAGAGAAATTGTTGGTTGAATCTATTTGAGTATGTCACTGTTTATCGGCAGCACAAAGAAAGTTAAGTGAAATTTTCGGACAGGTTGAACAATTTCTCTGTAAAAACTAAACTGACGTCGGAAATTTTCAAACGTCGCATGGTGCTTGTGATACTTTGGCCGGAAGGTGACGGTATCTCGTTTGCGGTGTTTAAAAATTTCCGCTCCCATTTTATTTTTTTTTTCGTAGAAAAGATCAACGTCATTCCTTGAACTTTTCACAGAATTTCCCTCGCGCGGAGAAGAAAAATCACGGGCATTTTTAAGAGGTGACGTTGAATAGTTTTTCATGTAAAAAATGAAGTATGACACGACGTCTGCTACGTCGCAAACCGATATAAGTGGTTTGGAAGTCTTACCGTCCATTTGTCGAACATGAAATGCAAACAAACAAATGATAGCCACACCAGCGACGAATTCAAGAGGAACGTAGAGGCGTAAGTTTCCCTTCCATCGCCGGAAAAAAGGAGAAAGGAAAGGGGGAGGGAGGAAGCTTATAATTAGTATTTATTCATGACAAAATTGGCTAAAATTACATATTGGATGCTTTTAAATTTCGAAAATTTCCTGAGAGGAAGCCTACCGAACTCCCTTACACCTGTTCGAGTGTTGTGTGGTTAGAATGGTTTTCATGAAAGCCATTCATATTATCCTTGGTAGTAAATGTACACGTGATCAAGAGCGCAACTATTCTTGCCCTGATGTGATTTTGTGGTATCTCATGGAAATGAAGGGTAAACTTACCACTTCCTACAGCTGGCCAATCGTTGTGAGTATGTTCACTGCCACGGAACTGTTTAAATGGAATGAGGAGGTAATCGAAGTCCTATTGGCATTTGATATTGCATGAGCTTTGCCAGAGTATTCACAGATTAAAAACTCTGTTACCCAGTGCGTGTTATCCATTCTGGATTTCATTCATCTGAAACTCTACCTAGATCCCAAAAAGCAGGAATATTTATATTTACCATAATTTATTTCCTCCTAGAACCCGAAAATGGCAAAATCTTCAAATGAAAAGGAGTTTCAGTTGCGCTATGAAAAAAAAACAGGGACTGGGACTCTTTTCTAGAATGAGCCTCGAGGCGCTTAAGAGCACATGCTAAACGTATTTAACTATGCAATTAGGAACTACAACTTCTGGCTCAGTTTTGAAACACCGTATATACCATTAGTTTCCCCTACGCGCATAAGTGGTTCTATGGATGAGCCAGAAATTGTAGTTCCTGATTGCAAAATCTTGTTCAAACGGAGGTAACCACATGAGGTTATTCATAAATTAAGTTCAGCTGAAAGTCTGAATCGTAGACACCCTCTCCCCCCTAGCCACGCCTTATCCACTTTGTCATGTATTTCTTGCATACCCCTGAAAAATTACATTTTGTCTCATAGAGACGCTAATTTTTACGTAAAAAAAAAATTTTTGTTGTTCTTTCACCAGATTTATCCAACAATCTTTAAAAAAGTGTATTTTCGCTAAAACTATTGCGGTATGTCACGCATTCTATTCACTCGTCACG